TAAAATACTTTGTCTATCTAGGTGTATTAACATAAAATACTTTGTCTGTCTAGCTGTATTAACATAAAATACTTTGTCTATCTAGGTGTATTAACATAAAATAATTTGTCTATCTAAGCGTATTAACATAAAATACTTTGTCTATCTAGGTGTATTAACATAAAATACTTTGTCTATCTAGGTGTATTAACATAAAATACTTTGTTTATCTAGCTGTATTAACATAAAATACTTTGTCTATCTAGGTGTATTAACATAAAATACTTTGTCTATCTAGCTGTATTAGCAGAGTGACTTGGACGGTTTTCTAGAACTTTTTTTTTTAACCACACCAGCACGTTAATTAAGTTTATTGTAATTGTAAGGTAATTATAAAGAAAATCCCATATTTAAAATAATCATATCTTAAAAACCGTTTCTCCTTGGGGAAATTAATTTCATGAGAGGCTTTCCGCCATTCTTAATCAGCATATGTAGCCTCTGAAGCATCATTTGTTCTGAACAGTGTTCATTGATCCTCATAATAACAAAATCATCAACCAACTACTACTGAAAGAATGAGATAGAAAAAAAAACAAAAGGATTGCTAGATTTAGCTTTTTGTGCAGTATAACATGGTTTTGAAACAACCTATACTATGATGAAACTTTCCACATTAAGACTAAACATTTTTAATGTTTCTCTGGGAAAGTTACGCACTCCTAGGACAATTTGTTTTAAGATATAATCATTTTAAATGTTTTTCTTTCTATTTACCCTGTATAATATGATTCCAATATGACCTCTTGACCCTTATAAGATGGAATCTGAAAGAAACCCTAAACCAGAGATATGAATGGCCGAGAGAGGATCTTACAGACATTAATTATGATATGTAGATATCCAAGTTTAATCCATTTATGTTGAGAAACCGATGCACCGTCTGTTACTCGTCCTAGAAACGCGTTGATTGTTTTGTGTGCATCAGTAACACATGTGGCTTATTTTGTTAATTATAATTATGCGATCCATTTGTTGGAAATGTGATCATGACAACAGTTTAATAGAGAACCTTTTGGATATTCATTACATCAGAAGGGAAGAAAGAGAAGATATGCTGTGAAAGTTACATCACTTTACTATAAATAATCAACGATTAAAACAAATTTTAAACGCTTTTATATGAAATATACACAGAAATAGATATAAAAATTGCTTATCGTAGTAACTAAAAGAGCAATCTTGTATTACACGAATATATTTACAGCGCATATCTGAAAAACAAATGTATTAACAACGGCTGTTGCTGTAATAAATCCCTCCTTCCCCAATTATAACAGTTGGATCTCAATGTCATTTCCTTAGTGACTACCAGAGCAAACGTGTATCATATGGATACGTTTACAGATAATATCTGGTGAAATAGGTTGACTAACAACGACTCCTGTTGTTGGCAGTACAAAACATGTGACCAACAGGGCTACAGTTGTAGTGACTAGCCCCCAGTTTACTTCTGTATTACACAGCTACTACTGCAGTTATTAATTTGAAAAAGAAAAAAAGTGTATTACGTTACTTATATTTAGTGACTAATTCGAGAAATCTCGACTATGGCACAAATATTGTTGCAGTAACTAACCCTAGTACAAATGTACATTATAGCAGCGATACTACTGTTCTTACTAACCCTAAAAAACATGGCTGCTGTTGTAGCCGCTAACTCAATGAACGAATATATTAAGCGACTCAGAGGCATCGCTAGGACTGGCACACAAAGCCCGATTCTATTTGACATTGACCCGAATCACCAGTTGGTGTCTTGATAAATCAAACAGAAAATCATGAAACACCGAAAATTCCCGCGCCTATGGGCCCGAGACCCATAGGTGCTTTTAAAGCGCCTAGTAACGCCTCTGAAGCAGCTACTGTTTTAGTGACTGCACGAGAAGAATAAGAAAAAAAATATATATACATATAAATATATATAATGTAAAACAAACAGAGCACAGGCGTATTTCCGTACTGTGAAACAAAATAGGTGTATTAAACTGTTACTGCAATAACGTATTTCACAATAACGCTTCGATGTCAAGTATATTTCATAATGAACATGTAATATGAATGCTTTAAATACCTTTAGGTACCTAAAATTACTTCCAAGTGTATATATATATATATATATATATATAACACACACACACACATCACCAGTTCAAAACCCTCATACAAATAAATAATTATTAATGTTTATTTGAAAACTTTATTGTATATTTATCCCTACAGGTGACGCCACATACTATGTTTGCATCATTGGCTTTTATTTATTCTTTATTCCTTTTACAAGGTAACAGCCATGCAAGATAATTCACCCCCGAAAAAATATTAGCATATAATTCGAAACTTTGAATTTAAAAAACCTGAAACTGGGGTAGTCCAAACGTTTAGGTTCGTTCGATTAAAAATAATAGAAAAGAAGTACTTTGAACTTGGAGCTAATGCATTTCTTGGACAGAAAAATATATTGTGGTGACGTAAAGAATGGGAGCTTTCTCTAAAAAGAATTAACAATTTGAGTTCAGGATTAAAAGTACTGATATCTTTCTCAACACAAATGATTCGGTAGACACAGGCTTGGTAAAAAATTACATTACTTGAATTTGTTTATAACAGTTGCACAGCAAGGAAGCCCCAGTATGAGCCTCAAAACCCGCTTTTGTGACATCCAATATTTGCACCTCCAGAATTGTTCATGTTTCTCATGGTAACTAAATGTCAGAGAAATGTACCGATTGCGCTACATGTATTTTATATCAGTTAGACATATAATGTGCTTCTCTTTAATACCCTTATTTTCAAGGAAAATACAAACACCGAATGAAGATAAAGTTTACTTTACTGGCACCGCTCCACAGAATAGAAAAAACAAAACAAGATATTACCAATTCTTCCAGCTAGCTTATTGTAAGAGCAAGAAAATATTACACTTTTTCTTTTTAACATACGAGAACCTAATTTTATATGTTGAGTACTAAACATATAATATTAAGTATATAAACCTACCCCAAGCTAGAAAACATCGCTTCAACACAAAGCGAGTTTCTGTACTGGCAAACACGTGGATCACCATTTGATACATATTAATAGCTTCTACACACATCCAGGCTAGGGACGTCAATAGAAAATAGTGAATCAGAACAGCTACGATGACACAAATGTCTACACCAGCCACGCCAGATCCACGCTGAGAACCAACTAAAAAGGAAGTATTCATCAGCAGCATTGACACGCATAAATTGAGAAGAATCTTCCCAGAACGGTCGCGATTGAGACATCTGAAAGACAATCTAACATAAGTCCTATGATAAACTCTTGGTAAATTAATTACATCAGTTGATAATGTACAAAAAATATAGGGTTCAAAACATTTTTGAATACGAATGATTTTGATTAGATTTGTTTGCTTATTTTAATGGATTAACGAGATTCCCACTGTCCCTATCTACTATCTAGCGAAACCACAGCCAAGGGAACGAGCTTGGAAAAATCAGCTCGTTCCATAATAGGGTTCAAAACATTTTTGAATACGAATGATAAATATGTGTTTAGATTTGTTTGCTTATTTTACATTATTGTGGTAAAATAGTAAGCGAGGTTTTGATAAAGCACAATAACATCCTTTTTTCCTCCCTCTTTAAGCTACCATCAACACCTCACACTTACGTCTACAATGCAAGTTTAGAGAAAGACTATAGATAAATGACTACTATTGTGCTGCTACCTATCGATAGCTAGAAAAACCAGTAAATAACCAAAACTCGCTTACATTTGTATGTTTTCGATTGATTAAGTAAGAGAAAAAAATATTTATTCTACAACAAACGGTTTTGTATCGATCTATATCTCATTACAACTATTACTTTAGAGCAAAATTTATTTCAAAAGTTGAAAAACATAGGTAAAAGCAAGTTTGATTCTACACTATACCTTATTAAATTGTACACATGTCTAACTTAATGGATGTATATTGAAGTTTTTATTTGAATTTCATAGGTTAGTTCTATCTCTTCGTGTATCATGGATTAAAGAGCTATTTACGTGATTTGTTGTTATTGTTTTAACGTAAAACTACACAATAGGCTATATGCACTTTGTTCACAGCGGAGAATCACACTCCGGATTTTAGCGTTGTAAGTCCACAAAATTACAGCTCATTTACTGGGGGAATGCTGTAATGCAACCAAAACTTGACGAAAGACGTATGCTCGTAGCGTTTCTAAATGAAAAAACAACAACAAAAAATAATTTAGACGTGTATTCTTGTCTGTTTTCAGAGTACATATATATTGCTATACATATTTTATCATTGTCGTGTTTCGTCTAATTTGAGACATTACGACAACATTCACTTGCAAACTCTCAAACTGACAACATAAATGTCTCTTTAAGACAAGAATGAATCAAACATACTGTGTATCTGAAGTTCAACAAAAGTACGTTGCGGGCCAACGTACTAATCCTAGGGAGACTAAAGCACTAAAAGCTAAATCATGTAGCGTATGTTGATAAAATAGTGTAATTTATTGCAATGGTGGCAGACTAAAGATAGATCTGGAACGCCATTTTTACACATTTGTGATTTGAAATCCGTAAAGGGATAATTAAGAGAAACGTGACAAAAATTGAACAATCAATTTTAATCACTTTTATTTATACGTAATATATATCATGAACCACGTTAGTAGTTCATAACAAAAATCGCCCATTTGTTATTTTGTATTATTATTTAATATTGTTCCTCCAACCTACAGCAAACAATGGTTGTGAGTATTGTAATCAAACCTGGGCAATATTACTAAACACATCATTGCGCATTGTGTAGGGTAGTTTTTAGGTTTATTTAACTACCTAGCAAATAACAGCGACTGTATACCCGTTGACATCCAATCGTTTTAATGCAGTCTGTGGTTTATATGGAGCCTCATAATCAACTACATGCAAACGTATATAGCTGAGTGCAGGCTGTGGATGTAATTTAATTTTTATATGGCAGGCATGACACATGTACCATGGTGATTATTTACTTATTGTTACAACTGTATTGATGTTACATATCATTTATTTACGTATAGAGTTCCTGCTTTTTAGGACACGACGCTGCTGACAGGATCACAGTTTTTGTGGTTTTTTTCCCACTGCATGATCGATTTCTGCCCATTTAACACAAACGTCTAAAAGTTGTACAAACATCTAAGCTGTCTCCCAAAAACAGAAATCTTTAAGTCTTTACGCCATATTTTAAAATATAGTACCAAGCTCAGTTTCGAACATCGGATCGGCAATCATGGTGATGGCTGATGGTAAGTATCGAATTATAGCCAGTACTGCCCGATTCCGAATTTTATAGATACTGGAGATAGAGTAGCCATTCTTGAAGTTGACGATAAAGAGTGGCAAGAATCGTGCAAGCAAGAATTGGCGAAAATTATGGCGATTCTAGGCGAAAGTGAGGCAAAAATTTGTAGCTATATATTATATTTAGAAAATATTTAATTTCAAATAAAGTATACAGCAACGACAGCCCACCAGAGTTTTAGCTTTATTGGATTTCTTTTGTAAGGGCGGACGTTGGGAGTTTCATATAGTAGAAATTTTAGGTTGGTTTCATTTCTACTTTAGGAACTATAAGAACTTTTAAAGGTAACTGCCTTCCCACAACTGACTGCAGACTGTGAAGGGCAGTAGGAGTTGAGACGTTAGGGTATAAGCCCTCAACTCCATACCCTTAACTGATTTTCCATGTTTACTGGCTAGTATAACATCAGCGTTTGGATTTTGTTTGATAGATGAGATATTCCCAATGTATTTGGGAACTATTACCAAAAACATTATCCGCATTAAGGTGACAACTAGGACTGACAATGGGAGCTCTACCAAAATCTATCTAATGCCTATATTATATTAAGTTCATTATTGTTTTATAATGCTGATTTTAATCGCCTATTAACAATTAATGTAATTAATAGTATCGGAGCTATTTATTTCATGATATACAGAGACATGTGCATGCATGTATAAAACTTACGCGGTTAAAAAATCCAGTCCATGCATCATTCCAGTGTTACATACTCCCCATATAGCTACAAGGAATAAATATACTAGCTATATATATTTTACAAGCATATACATAATATGTGTTATGTTTATCACCATGCATCATAGTGACCATACATGCTATACCACTATCAATGATAACATTGTGGAAATGATAGCAGGAACAATAGCCATCCAATCTGCATGAAGCCAATCCACAGGTTGTCATTGTTTCCCGAGAGAGCATATCAAACCAATAACGTATTTCTTTAAATTAAACTTTTTCAAGTAGGACAGTATTGCTGTCATGCAGATGTATATCCATGATGGACATGAAATAATCTAAAGAAAAACAATAATACTAAAAATTTTTTGCTTAAGAAGGAGGAATAGGGATTTTTAAAAAAAATACAGAAACAAGAGGGGTAACTTAAAGTGTTAACATTATTTTCTCAAGGTACATATCCATATTTTGACTCCATGTCTTAAAGTTGTAATATTTAGGAGAGTCAAAATAGGGATTTGTAGCTTGAGGAAGTTATGTAAACACTACGTCTCAAACCTAACCTTGTTTATTTACTTTTTGCTATTGCATTTTCACTTTAAGATACTCATCTTGTTTCTGTATTATTTTCAAGGTCCCCATTCCCAACAATTTTAAATAATATTGTAATATAGTACTTGTAAATAACAATATTTCATTTCCTACATTTATATTAAGGAGTACTTACCTAGACTGTTCTATACTGAACTTCTATACATCTATCTGGAATGTTTCATTGCAAAATAAATTAAAATAATTTTCAAAAACAAAATACAACCTACCGAAAAAGTGCGTATGTAAGAATAGTCAATATCAAGCCACAAATAGACACAACACAACCAACATAAGATATAATGGATAACGCTTCCTGGTGGTCAGAACTAACTTCGGTATTAGGAGTTGGATCCTAAAAACACACATTTTATTGAACTTATAGAGCAAATATATATAATTTTAATGAAACTAAAAAATATAACTTTTCATTACGGAAATAAATTACTGTTAAAACAACAACCACAAAGAAAATTTTAGAACAAAGTTATAGAACTTGTAATAGCAAAGCCTTAACCACTTAATCAAAAAAATAATTAGGCTTAGGTCAGAAACAAAAAAACGGTATCGGGCATTTATCAATCATACATAAGATCAAGTGATTAAATTCAAAAACGGAAACTTAATAGAATTTTCAGTTCACTCCTGATGAAGACATGTCTACCTTTCGAAAGCGCTCGGATTATAGGATTTCGTATTTGTGTCTAACAGTGAGAGGTAAGATAACCTGAAATCAATTTAAAGTTGTTCAGATAGGTTCGGGAAGTATCATAAGAAATGTTTTGTTCCCAGATTTAGATAGTTCATATCTCTCTCTTTATGTGTGTGTGAGCGCGCGCATGCACACACACACACAGACACGAGGTAACTTCCACATTTTCCCTATCAACTTGTAAAATTATTTTAAAGTAAATAATCCTTAGGAAACGGTTTCGTAGGTTTGACTAACTCTTCATTCTGAAAACATTAACATTTAAAAATAAAATTAAAAATATAAACTAATACAAATTTCAATATATAAAAATCATAAAAAATTAAAGACGTTGTATGCCATTCACCTCAAATCACAAAAAATATTGTGTATTCTCTAATTATATTCATAAATATATTATTTACATAATAAAATACAAATCCTGTAGAATTCTAATTTCAAATTGAAATAGGCTTAAATTTACAATAAACTAAATATTAAATAATTATCGCCCCCCAGTAGCACAGCGGTATGTCTGCGGACTTACAACGCTAGAATCCGGGTTTCGATACCCGTGGTGGGCAGAGCACAGATAGCCCAATGTGTAGCTTTGTGCTTAACTTCAAAACAAACAATAAATAATTATTAATTGTATCACTAAATACATAATTCAACACTTTTATAATTAACTTTTAATGATTATCAGTTATAGCTCTAGTACACAATTGAATAATTGATCAGAACATCAAAAGCTTGGTTGCTGTTAAGCACAAAGATACAATGGGCTTCCTGCGATCTGCTCACCACGGGTATCGAAATCCGATATTTAACGTCGTTAGCCTGCAGACTTACCACTGAGCCACTGGAGGGGGCATTAAAAATAAACATTAGGAAACTGCATTTAAAATATAAGAAAAATTAAAAAAACTTAAATAATGGTGAACTTCAAAAAATATTATTGAGAAAAAGTTGTCTTAACAACGAGAAATTTACAGTAAATAATTATAGAAAGAAAAGGAAAAAGGGATTCGAAAACAACTGAAAGGTGAAAGACAAAATTAGGATAAAGATAAAATTAGACTAACTATCAAAAACGAATCTATAATTACAATGATACGAAAAAATAAAGGTAAGACAGAAGATGTAAAAAATCATTGGAAGAATACGTTTAGGAATATTTCAAATAACTAGAAATGATTGAGAGGATTCGACAAATAATTAGAACAAACACGGATAAAAAGAAGGACATTTGAAAAAAATATCGCCAACAAATGGAAGGTTAGATTTGTTTGTAATTAAGCTACTCGATGGGCTATCTGTGCTCTGCCCACCACGGGTATCGAAACCCGGATTCTAGCGTTGTAAGTCCGCAGACATACCGCTGTGCCACTGGGGGGCAGGAAGGTTAGAATAAATTACAGGAAACCAATATATTACCATGATTTTAAACATGAGGAAAAAAAATATATGTTATTTTCTATGTGTTATCAAAAACACAAATCAGAAAAAATAAGAATTACCATAAAAAAGTAACCAGCAGAATACATATGAATAAAAGGTCCTCCAAAAATTTCAGGTTACTAATAGTAGGTGGAACAAAGAAAATTGTGGAATCACTGGGTGATATTTTGGAGATACTTTTAGTTATTTATCTCGAAAGTAGAGAGATATATAAAACAAATTAGAAACTTTTTTGAAAACAAATATAACAACTATCGTTTAATGATTATGAATTTAGTATCACTGTATCAAATCACGATTATGGTTTGAAAGCAATATAATATTTTTAGACCATTAGGAGAATTGTTTTTAATTAAATTCAATACGATGTGTGTCCTTAAAGGTTTAGATTCAGCTCTTAAGAACTGTTATTTTTTTACGATATCGCTATTTATCGTCAACTATGAGGGTCAGCTATAGTGACTAAAGTTGCACAAACTTACACATGAGTAATTATAGTATTTTGGCACTTGTGTATAAAGTTAAAAATCATAAATAATATTCAACGTTAAACTGGTACACAATTAAAACCGTGTTATTTAGGGCTATCTATGGCCTTCAAAAAGTTGACGACTCTACATGTTTCGACGTAGAAAGGCCTAAATAAAATGTTTTTTAATTGTGTACCAGTTTAACGTTGAATATTATTTATGATTTTTACACGAGTAATTGGATATTTTGAAAAATATTTTTTATTGTTTATCATATCGCTTTAGATTATACTAAAATGATTCAAAACATCACAGCAAATATATTTTGATGATTGCTTTTTAAGTTGAAATAATAATCATGAAGTAGAAAATTTAAGAAAAAAAGTGAAAGATGAGTGAAACAATTACCCTTTCTGAATGTTTTAGTTAAGGTTAAAAAACAATGAAGAATTAATTACAAATATTTCTTAAAACCAACCAATTTACATATAAAGCCCCCCAGTAGCACAGCGGTATGTCTGCGGACTTGCAACGCTAAAAAACGGGTTTCGATACCCGTGGTGGGCAGAGCACAGATAGCCCATTGTGTAGTCTTGTGCATAACTTCAAACAAGGTTAATCACATATATTTTTTTTTGCTATCAACATAAGCATTGTAATTTAAATGCACCAGTAAGTCTAGCACAAATAGTTTATAATTTAATTTCTCAAGAGAAAGTTAGTAAAATAAGACTCGAAGAATCAAAATGATTTAAAATAATGTCACTATCTAGATAGAGTAAGCAAAAGGAGATTCAACATAGCAAACGCTAAATACGAAACAAAATAAAAATAAACTATTATCCCTTATATGGTCAATATGTTAGTTTTGATAAATACTTTTAAGAACCACTTGAGGATGTGGTGAATAAAAACTTAAAGTATTCAATAATTTCAAAGTAATTCTATCACAGCCGAAAATTTATATTGATTATTAACCAAAAAGAAAGGTTTTCTTCCATGTTATAAAGTAAAGTATGAATTATACCATATAGGAAATATGGTAAAAAATGCTTGCATCCCATTATACCATATAGGAAATATGGTAAAAAATGCTTGCATCCCATTATACCATATAGGAAATATGGCAAAAAATGCTTGCATCCCACATTCCACTAAGACCATTTTATTCTATATAAAGTCCACTGTTGATTGTGATTGAAAGTACATTATTCATGCCTTAGTTTGTAAAACATGTGGAGAACTATACATGGAAGAAACACACAATTTCAGATTTGGAATAAATTTACATAAATATTATGTGAGAAACCGAAATTAAAGCTCAATATCATCTAACGTTCATTTCAATACTTTCCTTTAAATATCTAAGACATTTTATAAAGTTTGTCTTTTTTTGGTCACGTAATGACAAAATATATTAGATTATTAAAATGTGAAAACATTTTAAGAAATTCAAAGCTTTCTTTGTTAATAGTTTATAGAAGACGTTTATAAAGTAATATTTTTCACCTTTTTCAAATAATTATCTTATTTGTTAGTTTGATTTATTTTGTCGTTAAGGGCAAAGCTACACAAGGAGATAGCCATGTGCCTACCACAGGTATCGAAACCCAGTGTTTTATCATTATAAAAGTTATCTTCACGTACAACACATTAACGTAAAGGTGTGTTTTATTAAATTATGTACTAGAGGTACACTTGATAATCATTAAAATTAGAACTTCATATGGTTTATATTTTATTGTGTAATTAATATATTTATGTATTAAAATTAGAACTTCATATGGTTTATATTTTATTGTGTAATTAATATATTTATGTATTTATGAATTTTAAATTATTATTATATTTAATCAGAGATTGCAAAAATTTTTGTGGTTTTATTTATATGTGATTTTATTTACTTTAAATTATTTTACAAAGATAACTATGGTTTACAACGTTTTGAACGTATAAGACGACCCTGGATTTTTTGAGTTAATTAAGTGTATTTCTTTGAGGTTCGGTTTATAGGACGACCTCTACTGTCAAGCAAGTCTAGGATGTTACTTTTGTAAAGAAATTCTTAGAAGTTATTTTTAAACTGTGCTAACCTGCGCTCTTAGGTAATCAATACAACCACAAGTATGTTTTTATGCTCTTCAAACGCTACAGACAGCTCAAAGCGGCATAACTTAAGTCACAAACATGCAATAAACAACTTTACGAAGTTTATCACATTTCAACTTATTTTCTTTTACGAAAAAATTATTAAACCTTAAGATATAGTGATCTGCTACAAAAGCATGTTTATAAAATTAGTGTACGTTACAGAAACTAAGTTTATTCATATAATATTAGCAACATTTTAGTATAACGGATGAGATCAATACATTTCAAATCAAAAATGTCTTGATTAATTGTAACTAGCATGTGAGTTAAATAGCTTCTAGTTATGAAGAATCGATACAAATGATACAGTTACAAATATGTTATTGTAACCCAGTAGGTGGCACGATGTCAATGCATTTACTCAAAAAAAAAAGCAATTGTGTTTAATTATGCACAAAGCTACACAAGGGCTATCTGTGCTCTGTCTACCACGGGTATCGAAACCCGGTTTCTAGCGCTGTAAGTCCGCAGACATACCGCTGTGCCACTGGAAAAAAATAAAATAAAATAAAAAACAGACAAAAGTAAAAGGAACAACGTAGTATTGGTTAAATATGCTGTTAACTGGAGAGTTCTTACTGGAACTCTTATGTTTGAACTGGTGTATAAGACGAGGGGTAAAATTAGGTATTGCTTTAAGAGTAAAAATTACTATCTTATACACCGGCAAATATTATTTATATTCTTAATTGTATTTATAAATGTTTATGTTTCCAGAGTGAAAAGTAATCAAACTTACGAAACCTTATACAGAAATATACAAAATGCCTGTCTACCTCTTGTTATTCAATGGTCATTACTTAAGCACTAGTCAACAGCATAATCATATTAAGTCGTCACGAAATTAATGTCGCGTTTTCGAACACTTACGTTAACCACCCCCCACAAAACGTACATCACGTATAATACTTAAAAGAACCGCCTAAACGTCAAGATAGTGTAGCCTATATAATGTGTAAAGTTTATATACTCCAATCAATCCCTTATAGTGATGGCACATGACGAGACGCACATTCGGCATGTAATGCTGTTTGAATACAAAACAGGAAACAACGCCTCTGTAGCCACAAAGAATATCAAAGAAATTTATGGAAATATTTTGAACGTTCGTAAGTGTCAACGATGATTCAGCAAATTCCCTTCAGGTGACTTAAGCCTTCAAAACTGTAACGGCAGGGGCCGACATGTTGGAATTGATACTGATGCTTTGAAGACGCTTGTTGAGTCTAACCCAAAGTAACAGACTCGTGAAATGGCTCTGAAATTGCATGTCTCTTATGAAACAATACGTAAACATTTAAGGAATATGGGAAAACTCCTTAAAGAAGGTGTTTGGGTGCCTCACGAACTCTCCGATGATCATCGTTTCCAACGTGTGAACGTCGCTTCGTCTCTTTTGGTGCGTAATGCGCGTGAACAATTTTTGGACAGAACTGTCACCGGTGATGAAAAATGGATTCTCTATGCGAATATTAAACGTCAAAAACAATAGCTCAGTCCTAGATAAAAACCACTTCCGACCAAAAACACCTGGGCTCCATCCGCAGAAAGTGATGCTTCGCATTTGGTGGGACATCAAAGGGGTAATTCATTTCGAACTCATCAATCCACAGCGAACTGTCAATGCAGAGATGTATAATCAGCAACGGGAACAGTGAAATCAAGTCCTTCATCAGAAACGCCCTTCACTCGTCAATCAGAAAGGTGTTCTTCTCCACGACAATGCACGTCCACATGTGGTATGTTTGACGCAACACAAGATTATGGAATTGGGTTGGGAAGTTCTCCCCCACCCACCATATTTTCCAGATTTGGCACCATCAGATTACCATATATTTCGTTCGCTGTAACACCATCTTAATGGGGAAACATATGCAAATGTGGAAGACGTTAAAGAGAACATCGACATGTTTTTTGCTTCAAAACCAAGTGATTTCTTTAATCAGGGCATTAACAACTTATTTGTAAGATAGAAAAGCATCATCGATAAGACTATTTCATTTAACAAATATTTTGTTTTGATATACAAGTTTTTCATCTAAAAAAAGCGACATTAATTTCTTGACGACCTAACACTTTGAAAAATAATATAAAATTAGAGGATGGATAAAATTTGCATATGGAAGTACACAGGTATGAATACTAGCTACAAAAATATGGTTTTATGTAACAGATCTGTGTAGCTTCTCATGAATTAAACTAGGATAACCTATTTCATCTGAACCTCAACTAGTGGTAATTTTTTTGTGTGGATTCTAGGTAACACAAACAATGCCTCAATAACACAGATATAACGTGTAGAGGAAGTAAACACAAACAATGCCTCAATAACACAGATATAACGTGTAGAGGAAGTAATTTTACCAATCTTACCAAAAGAACCGAGAAAGCTGTCATATGTGTAGAAGAGCAGATGGTAAAGTTTTGTGTTTTGTTGGTTGATATTCCGTCTGTTGCCCACAATTTCTCTGGAAAGAAAGTTACTTTATTAAAACAGTCCAAAGTTAACTATTATTATCTCCTATCTGTTAACGGAAATAGTCCTGAGCGATATTAAATTTTAAAAAAAACGACATACTTATTTTAAATTTTAATAAAAACATTTCACACGCGACTGCCTAAAATTTAGCTTAGAATATATAGTGAATGGAGCTACTAAAATATAATTCAAATAGTCGTAAAAAACAACAGAGATACTAGTGAATGATTATATACAACTATAAGCCAAAACCGACGAAACACTAGTGAATGATATTATTTAAGTATAAGCGAAAACAGCCTAGATACTAGTGAATAGTATTATTCAAGTATACGACAAAACCTACAGAATTCTAGTGAATGGTATTATTGAAGTATACGACAAAACCTACAGAATACTATTGAATGGTATTATTGAAGTATAAGTCAAAACCAACATAATTCTGGTGAATGATATCATTCAAGTATAAGTCAAAACGGAAAGAAGACTAGTGAATAGTTTATTCAAGTATCAGACAAAACCTACATAATACTAGTAAATGATATTATTTAACTATAAGCGAAAACTGAAAGAATACAAGTAAATGATATTATTCAAGTATAAGGCAAAAGCGAGAGAATATTAGGGAATGGTATTATTCAAGTATACGACAAAACCTACAGAATACTATTGAATGGTATTATTTATGTATAAGCCAAAACCGACATAACGCTATTGAATGGTATTATTCATGTATAAGTCAAAACCTACATAACGCTATTGAATGGTATTATTCATGTATAAGTCAAAACCTACATAACGCTATTGAATGGTATTATTCATGTATAAGTCAAAACCTACATAACGCTATTGAATGGTATTATTCATGTATAAGTCAAAACCGACGGAATTCTAGTCAATGACATTATTCAAGTATAAGCGAAAACCGAAAGAATAGTAGTGAATATTATTATTCAATTATAAGTCAAAACCGAAAGAAATCTAGTGAATGACATTATTAAAGTATAAATCAAATCTGACATAATACTAGTGAATGGTATTATTCGAGTACGAGTCAAAACCAACATAATTCTGGTGAATGATATTATTCGAGTATAAGCAAAAACTGACATAATACTAGCGAATGGTATTATTCAAGTATAAGCATAAACCTACAGAATTCTAGTGAATTATAATACTCAATTATAAGCAAACACCAACAGAATTATATGGAATGATATTACTCAAGTATCAGCCAAAACCGACAAAATACTAATGAACGACATTATTCAAGTAAAAGCCTAAACCGACTGAATTCTAGTCAATAACATTATTCAAGTATAAGCCAAAACCGACAGAAATCTAGTGAATAGTATTATTCAAGTATAAGCCAAAACCGAAAGAACACTAATGATGGTATTATTCAAGTATAAGTGAAAACCGACAGAACACTGTTGAAAAATATTATTCAAATACAAGATAAAACCGACAAGAACTAGTGGTTGGCATTATTCAAATATAAGCCAAAACCTAAAGAATACTATTGAATGATATTATTCAAGTATAAGCAAAAACTGATAGAAAGCAAGTGAATTGTATTATTCGAGTAATAGCCAAAACCGACAGAATGCTACTCAGTGACATTATTGAAGTATAAGCCAAAACCGACAGAACACTAGTGAATGATAATGTTAACGTATCTGCTCAAACCGACAGAATACTAGTGAATAAAATTATTCAAGTAGCAGCACAAACCGAAAAAATACTAGTCAATGATATTATTCAAGTATAAGCGAAAACAGACTGAATACTAGTGAATAGCATTATTCATGTATAAACCAAAACCGACATAATACAAGAGAATAACATTATTCAAGTATAAGCGAAAACCGAAAAATTATAGTGAAAGTTATTACTGAAATATAATCCAAAACCGATAGAATTCAAGAGAATGGTATTACTGAAGTATAAGCCAAAACCGACATAATTCTAGTAAATGTTATTAATGAAGTATAAGACAAAACAAACATAATACTATTGAATGGTATTATTGAAATATAAGCCAAAACCGCCAGAATTCTAGTGAATTATAATACTCAATTATAAGCCAAAACCGACAGAATACAAGAGAATGGTATTACATAATACCAACATAATACTAGTGAATAGTATTATTCAAGTCACAACCAACATAATACTAGTGAATGGTATTATTCAAGTATAAACCAAAACCGACATAATACAAGAGAATGGTATTATTCAAGTCACAACCAACATAATACTAGTGAATGGTATTATTCAAGTATAAACCAAAACCGACATAATACAAGAGAATGGTATTATTCAAGTATAAGCCAAAACCGACAAAATACTAGTGAATGCTATTATTCATGTGTAAGCCAGAACCGGCAGAATACTAGTGAATGCTATTATTCAAATATAAGCCAGAACCGGCAGAATTCTAGTGAATGCTATTATTCAAATATACACCTGGAAAAAAGTTAAGCACCCCCGTGTTTTTTTCAAGTGATTCAGATTCGACGTTCTTGTGACTGATTATAAATTACCATTCAATCTAAACGTGTT